TGCAAAGTTATGCAATTTGCCAGAAAAGTCCTAAATGATCATTGTCAGCTAAAAGCTACAGAAATAAGAATATAATTTAGGGCTTTTCTTGTAAATTCTATAACTTTGCAAAGAAAAGTCGTGTAGAGCTGGAAGATGTCTCATTTTAATCAGAAATTTGCGGACTACAATCATGTCTCATTAAGAAATGTTTTGGTTATTTTTTAGAGTTTTTGAAAAACTGATTTTCTAGAAAATCGAACCTCCAAGGACTCGTATGCCGCTCCGACTATGATATTCGAAATCAGCATCAGTGATAACCTATGCCTATGTATGTTTCGACGAAAAAGCTCGGGAACACTTGGGTCGGTTCCCTGGTGAGTTTACAAGTAAAGACATGGCTTACTCAATCGTGTCAAACGATTTTTAATCAAATTGATATAACGAAGTTTAGTACAATCACTAATGCCTAATAATGATGTTAGACGATTTCTAGATGCATTCAAATATTCTAACTTGTTTAATTTCTTCAAATACATTGTTTCAATCCAATTGTTCTAAAATTGAACATGATATTACTTTTTTTAGTGAAGTTTGAAGTACTGATATATTGATACCTCAATATCAAGCATAGTTAAATTTGAACATTCATCTAAACCAATTAGTTGACCCATTTTACAATTACGTAATGTAAGAAATGTCAAATTTTTAAACAAATTCAATGGTTCGAGAGAACAAGTTGGCAATTTTTCAAGAATAATTTCCATCACCTAAACAATAATTGAAATAAAGTATTTTAGACTAGAGTCTTTTTTTTTTATGACGTGCTATCTCCGGCTACAGAAAGCTAGAATTGAAATTGTAAGCTGATAAAAAAACTACTAGGAAATATCGAACTGATACCTCATCTGAAGGTCTGTGTTCAGTTGCTTTTGAAAGGATATTTTCATCTAAACTCGGTAATCTCTTGGCAGATGATATCCGTGGTGGATTGTGTTTTGAACTCGTGAAGTTCGATGTTTGATATTTCAATTCTTCTTCGATAATAGATGAATATGTGTCAACGTTTAATATCCATGATTTTGCTTTATTCAAAAAATTTTCATCAATCATGGGCTCAATAAAATTGTCTTCTAGCACTTCTTGTTTCTGTTGTTCCTTTAATAGTTCAACGTTAATATTTTTCGCCTGATTCAGTGGATTTTCCTGCGGTGGAAAAATTTGTTGGTTTTGAACTGGCTTAATTTCTGACGTAGTAAGAATGTTGTTAATCTCGTCAGATGTATTCTGTAACATGGGATCTTTTATGGCAGATATTGGTCGTGGCGTCAAACTGGAAGAAAAGTAGTTTGATTGAACGTCATAATTGTTCAATTCTGCTGATTCGATTACAATATTTTTTTTCGCTGAATTAGGTCGTGAACAGGATACGCTACTACTATACGAAAGAATCATTGGTTCTAAAATCTTCTTCTCTTGTTTATCATTTTCCAGTGCAGAAGATGGGTCACAAATTTGAGTTTCATTGTGGGCCACAATACTTTTTTTTCTAGTAGCGGATGAAGGTTTTGAATAATTATTGTCGTTAATGTGATTTTCAGCTAATTTTGACGGTGTAGTCATTTTATGTTTAATCTCGTTTATGGTGGTAGATATATTTGTATCACTGGTTTTATTTACTTCTTGATTTTCATTGATCACAGGAGTAATGTTTTCTAATTTATTACTGTTTCTATAACAGAATCAAATCAAATAAATTTTTGGCAAAGGTCAGTATTAAATAGACTCTCTTACCTTATTGGTACTGATGATTGTTGTATATTTGGGGTATCTATAATAATTGCATTTAGTTTTTGTTGTTTATTTTCTTCAACAATACTCGGTTGATTGTTGTTATTTACATCATGTGGTTTTAATTTTTTTATGCGTTTTTTCTGCTCAATTTCTGACTTTGTCGTGATTTTCTTCACGATATTATTCGATTTTGAGTTTGTTTGTTGTTCTTCATTTGATTTTAATAGAGGATTCATTTTTCTATCCTCTAGAAGTATGATGGGAACATCATTCGATAATAATTGAGTATTATTGTTTCTCTTATTATCTTCTAAAATGGCGTTCACTTGTACTTTAGTCGCTTCTTCTTTCTCTTCGATTATTCTAAAACATTAAAAATAGCGCAATAACTCTATAAGCTGAAATAAATAGATCCTTTTGCTATTGTGAAATTGACGAATATATTTTCTGATCATCTTCTCCAAAATGTACACTGATTACCTATTGTTTATTTCTTTCTTCTTTCGTCTTTCATTTCGTAATTTTTCTTTAGTTCGTCGCATGATTTCTTTATGATATTTCTGATAAACTCTAAAAGTAAATATTCAAGAAAATTTTGTACTTAAAAATAAATTAATTGTATATGCATTGTTGATCTTTCTATACCTACGACCTCTGAACCAGGCTTGGATAATTGTAGCCATTTTGTGATGACGTTCTTGTGACGTTTTTTCTTTCTCATTCATCATTAATTGAAAATGTTTTTTCTCTTCAGCCACTTGCCGCGCACTCTCTTCTAAATTCGCCTAAATTATGTACTAATTAAAAATATGAACATAGATATATGTATTTATTTATTTACTTGTATTCTTCGATATTCTTCAGCAAGTTGTCTTTGATGTTCTTGAATGACAAGTGCATAACGCTCTTCTTCTTCCTGAAAAAATACAATAATGTTGAACGTCCAAATTTGTTTAATAAAATCAAAAAACTTGCATTTCGTCGTTGTTCTAAAATAGCCAATTCTTCGGTCATTTTTCGTCTTGATTCAGCTATTCGTTCTTCATCGCGACGATTCTGTTCTTCTTCAATTAATCGTTGAGATTCATTCTTTTGCTCCTGTTCTACGTCATTTGTTGCAATCTGAATAACAGTTTTACACAAAGTTGTAAGATATATCACAAAATAGTTTAAGTTATTTTAACCTCGTCTTGAATATTAGGTGAAACAACCGACCGACTGGTGGATAACATTGCACTTCGGGCTCTGCTAATTGAAGTATAATCTAAATCATTGGATTCATCATATTCAATTGGAATATAAATCTCATTATTTATATTTTGTAGCATCTACAATAATAGCATTTACTATCGTTAAACAATATGATACACTAAACTATAATACAAACATCTCTAAGTTGAACTTCATTAATACCACATTCATTCGCTACTTTTCGTTGTATTTGTGCATCGATTTCTTGAGTATTTACTAGCAGAAAAAATTTTTTATTCAATTAAATTTATACTCAAATGTTTAAGTGGAAGAAAACTAACCAGTTGATCTTTCCAATAGACTATTTATTTCATCATAATCAATTTTGTATGTATCGAAATTTGAATCAATTTCATTTTGAAATGCTTCAAGTCTTTCTTTCATTTGACGGTCCAATTCATCCCGGCTAGTACTAATATCTTCATATAACGTTGCATCTTCTTTATCTATATCATAATCTTGTTCTTGTTGTATATCATCATAATCGAGACTGATTGCATCCAATTCCATTTGTACAATTCGATCAATATCCAAATCATCATCGCTGTAAGATGATGCGAAATCATTGTGTTTAGCGATCATACTCTTTCTAAAACGTTATCTAAAAATTGTAGTATCAAAACAAGCTGCTGTTGTCTTAAAACTATCAGTCTTTTTCTCTTTTCTAATAAAAGCAATACAAGCAATTAATTAGTAGAGAATTCTTTCAAAAATCGCCCAATCGTCTTATTCTTCTGAACGCCATTTCTCACTTCTTATTATATGGTTTCTTAGTAATAGAAGTCTTTTCGTATATTGTTCTACTGTATGGGATATTCGAATGTCACTACAGTCTCGCTTAGAGATCACACGGTTTCAGCTTAATTTCCTATTTTTGAATTACTTTACATAGATGAAGTAAATAACAAATCATTATAAAAATAGAATTTAACTATTTGTATGTCAATGAACGCATATATAGCGTAGATGCTTAATCACAGAGCAGCAAGGCAGGTACTTCTTTTTTTTACTATCTCTCATCTTTAAATGAAGACTATATATTTCTACTGCCATAGTTTCATTCCAAAAGATCGATAAGTTACTGCGGAATATTCCGCAACATTGTGAGCAAAATCTTAATGAAATTTTCATAATATCCCAGGGGAAAGACGTCTTACAAGATCTTATAAGATCGAACGATTTCTAATGCAATCTTGCTGCAAGATCTTTTGGCAAGAACTCGTAAGATCTTATCCCAAGGTCATGTATGATCTTGCGGAATCTTGTAACTTCTTGTCGTAAGATCTTACAAGATCAGCTTATAAGAAATTTTAAGATCTTATAAGATCCTGTAACAAGAAGTTATATGATCTTGCAGGATCTTGTCAGTTCTTATCACAAGATCATACGGTTTCTTGTTACAAGATCTTATAAGATCTTACAAAAAGCGATGATTCATTCTTACCACATAAATTTTGCAACGATATAGAGTATATATAAAACATAGTTCATATGATGAAACTTAGAATTTTTTCTTTCTCCAACTGCACATATCAGCTGAGCACAAATAAAGTGCATGGCTATAAGAAACGTGGTTAGATACGTTACTAAGGACGTCAGGGTCCTTCCTATGCTCGAAAATATTATGGAAAGAAAAAAGCTGTTTTTTAAAGAGGGTCTGTAGGGAAGCTATAGTACAGAATCAGAGACATAATCTTATATGATCTTATGAAATCTTTCAAGATCTTGTCACATCTTGCTGTAAGAAAGATCTTGTGAAATCTTATAAGATTCTTGAACCAAGGTTCTTGTGGAATCTTGTAAGATTTTTATATGATCTTGTGAAATCTTGTGGTATCTTATAATATGACCTCACAAGATCTTGTATGAACGTACAAGATCATATTTCGAGATTCTTCGCCCTGGGATCCCAGAATCTCGCAGATATTCCAAACCTCTAGAATAATCCCACATGAATGAAAGATCATGAGAATTGTACTCATAACGTGGCAGAATATTCCAGAATAAATTCTTCCGATGTGGATATTCTGGATATTGCATTATTCTTCTTGTTTCACTTTTTACAGAATTACTTTTTATAGTGTGATCACGATCGATAACGGTCTTCAACGCTAAAAGTGTGACATTACCATACGTCATGTTCAGTGTATGATATGAAATTTTTATCATTGCATTACAATACTTTTTTATGATGGTACCATCAGAATGGTCTACTTTCTTGTCAGTAATCGTGAAGATACCTTTTAAACCTCGAAACTGGAAGAAAATCATGAAAGACTTTGACCTTGTAACTTTGACCCTTTGAATTGTAAAGATAATTAATACTCCCATGCAATCTTTTTTTCCCTATTTATAGCGTTACAACACTAGGAAACATGCTTTTTCTTAAATTATGATATTACTCATTACCCTCATTACAACGCGATAGACGTAGCCCAATGTGTTGTAACACGTTATTTTTCCGGAATTTATGGTGTTGTAACTTGATCAAGTATTACTCCAATATAAGAGTTATTCAGAAACACAGTTATCTTATTTTTCGGCAACAAGATGTTCTGACGAGGGACCTTTCTGAGGTGACACACTTCGTTATTTTTCATTTGCCTGTCAATCGATAGCATAAATGGAGACAGTAAAAAGCCTACATGGATATGGTCCCTTATTGCTTTCTTAAAAAGTTATAGTGGTTTTTCTCTTTTCACCAGCGGAAAACTCTAAAAATTAAAAAGTTCATAACCCACACGAAATGCTACCTGGGCTCTTGAAATTTTCAGCGCGAATAGACATTAGTCAGCTCTAATCAACCTGATAATTTCAAGGCTCTACGTTACTTCCTTACAAAGATCCAGAATTTGCAATTCTAAAGGGAATTCGCTTACATCATTTTTAGCTATACCAATATTTCTCATGTGTTTTCCAATATGCAAAGGAGAAACAGGAGGGTTTGTGAGGTACTTAGCCGCCCACTGCCACTACTAGCGAATGAGCGTTGTCTCCCTTCTACTACGTAGAGACCTCTCACAGTAAGAAGGGTACTTTTTTTATTTCAACTTTGTCAACAAAATAAATTAACAACAACTATTTACAAGTTTAATCATCAACTCTTTTTAGTTTATTAAATAAACAAGCGTCGTCATTTGAGGCTTAAACATTTAATGTACATAGTACTTTTTAAACCAGCCCTGAAAACATAAGACTTTTCCGCAATAGCTGCATTTTATAAAAGATGTGTTTCTGAATAACTCT